AAGTTAGTCTTCTACATGCTGTAATTCTTGCAAATGAAACTACATAAATGGATATACTAAAACTACGTTCCATTTGTGGATGTATATATATGCACCATTGTCAGTGTTCAAATATAAGCCAATAATTAAATAAAAGTCAATTAAGTATTCACTCCAGAAGGAAAACTGCCAGAAAATTTATAGAGACTATTTTCACACTGACAGTACCATGGGAAGTAAATCCATAACACTCTTCAGGTAGCTGCTTTGCACAACTGAGGAACACAGTAAAAATTACCTGATAACCACTTTCTATTATCATTGACCATTTTAGTCTGCCACGGTGGTCTGGAGTTTTTAGAATCCCTCTAATCAATAAAGAGGTAATGTAGTGGAAAAGTATGAAATGAAATTGTGTAGGAAAAACATACGGCATCTATAGATTATGGAATTGATGGGTTTAGTACAGCCCTACCTGGTCTATGCAGGAGCATAGAAGAATAATGCAAAGACCTTAGAAAACGATCAGGAGACTGTGACAATGGAAATTATAAAATTGCTCTTAAAATCAGCATATTCAGTGAAAGAAATGCATACGGAAGCGAATGCATTCCTGTGCACATTTTTATGTCTAAATATATAAAAATATATAATGATATCTTTCCTTGAATGTGTGTAAATGCTTCTGTGCCCCCATTCTCAGTCATCTGGACTGATAGCTTTAATAAGGGGATAACCTTGGTTTAAACTCAGCTATATTTGCATACTTACGTCAACTATATTGCAACAGAAGCTGGCACAGCTGCCAGAAGGAACAACACAGTTGATTAAACTATACTTAAGGAGAACATATTTTGCTAATACAAACTTAAATATGGGGATATTAGGGCATCTTTTTCAGTTCTCATAGATAAATCCCCATTTCTGGTTCATTCTACATTTTGGGATTTATATTAAATCAAGAAAATATTTTAAAATAAAGGTATTGATAAAACAAATTCAATATCAGGAAAAAACAACCAACCAACCAAATAAAAACAATAACAGCAAAACAAACCACAAAAAGCCACCAACATTAGGAGTCCAGCTCTTAAGCTTTTATAAGTCTCTTACTAGGCATAAGATAACAGCATAGCAATCTCTGTTCTTAAAATATTAGTTCAGCATTGTGATCTGACTCCATCTGCTGAGTTTTTCTGCAGGGAATTTCAAATTATTGTCCTTTAAAATATAAAATCTTCACTATAAAATATTCTGCACCCCATTTATCATGTGAGCAATACAGTGTCAACTTTGGAAACACTGATATCCTTCCACTACAGCACAAAAGCTGTGCCCACTTCGAAACTATCAGAAACACTGGAAATCACAGATGGGTACAGCAGCCTGCATGTTACAACATTTGGTAACCCAAGGGGCTTTTCAAAAGAAGATCTTTCTTATTTATGGATGTGATTGACTTTGCATCATACAAGAACAGATTACAGTGCAAGCATGGAAAGAGCAAGGCTGGCTGTCCATTCAAACTTTGGCATAAAATAGGTTTGCATCCTAGCTTTTAGTGGGTAAACGTCCTTCTAACATTTTTTCTTAAGAGCATATGAAGAAATTTGGCTTCTGGTAAGTAAGGCACCTTAAAATAGCAGTGCTGACACTATCTCTTCAGAAAAAAAAAATATATTCAGTATCATAATCTTTATTACTGGGTGGTATTGATTAAAAGGAAAACCAAACCTTTAGAAAGTAAACTGTAGAAGAAAATTCAATCTGCCTTCAATGTAAATTTGAAGGGAAAAAGTAAACTTCCACCTTCCAACTTATGCATGGAGAGTAACACAAGTTCTAAGAAAATCTACTGTGATAAACATGGCTATGACAGGTATATGTAAGTAATACCTCTGTGCAGAAAACCAGATCTTGAGAATGCCATGAATTTTCAATTTTTTGCACTTTTTCCAGTAAAAAATTGCCAAGGTCCAGTTGATATATGAATTTATTGCAAAACTTTAACTGCAACCCTGATTCCAGAGATAATTCATGGCATTATTTCAGTCATCCCAAATTCAGCAATAGCTATTATTAGGAAGTCCAGAGACATTATAAAATTGAGAACCATGTAGCCATGACAATTTCTAAAAAGTACCATTACTAATAAAATTGCAAATAACCTTGGGATAAAGTACCAAACTGGATAAACCTTTGCATGCAAATGTTATGAAACAATAAAAGACTGCAAGATACTAGACACAAAAGCTTGTCAGGTTCACACAAGAGACTAGTAAGGGTGAAAAAATTAGTATTTCAGTGAATTTCCCACAATTTCCCAAGAAATATGTGCATGAGTGTAGTTTATCATCAATACTGTTGTAAAACTATAGTAAGTGAAATTTGGAACATTTGGTAATTAAAAAGTGGCAACTAGAAAATGAAAATGTTAAAAAAATAGATGAGAGGAAGAGTTTATCTGGGTTTTTTCCTAAGCCAAGACAACCATATGCTGCACCAGCTGAAAAATCAAAGTGATTTTCAATGTCAGCCTCAGGCACTGGTAGGTCTAAGCATCTCTATAGGTGCAACTAAACGCTACTGATGATAGAAAGGAGTAGTTTTAGATTCTCTGGAAAAATTAAGCTTACATAAGGAAGGAAAAACAGTTGAGAGAGAACAAGAGAATAGCAAGATCTACATCAGAGAAGGCACATTCTCCTGGCAAACAGAGAGGACAAGGCATTTCTGGATATTTTTGCTGCAAGACAACCTAACAGCAAAAATTCTTATCTGCTTTAGTAGCCACTAATTGAAGTTTAGGCTTCCATTTAGGGAGCTCTTTCCTTGTCTTGCCTTTTCTGATTAATTTTAATCCATCTTTAATTTTTTTCATAGAGGAAAAAAACAACTGTTACAAATAAATCTTCTAGATAAGTGAATGTGACTGAATAAAGAGAAGACCAAGAAGATCCATTTTGCCATGGCATCTACTTTTGTTTTTCTAAAGGAGAATAAATTGAAAAGCATTTCTTTTAAAATTCTATATGCATGACACACCATGCTTAGTTGTATCTCATTTAGTCATGCAACTCCTCATCCATGTAAAAGCCACAATCTATGGCACACATTGAAGAGGATTTCATATGAAGTAAAAGCTCTGTTAGCATTTAATCTTCTGCTGCACACACATATTTAAGAAAATAACAAAGAAAGATAAAGGAGAACAACAGAGTAAGGGAATTGTTGCGGGAAAATGAATGCAGACACTGTTTTTCTGTACAAACACCACCCCTGATTTTCATTTTTTCTTTCTGATCAGGTTTTAAAAACAATTTCATAACCAATCATACGTTCACTGGTGAGAAATGTTATTCTGAATTTGCCACAGACACAGGTGTCAAAATGTACCAAATGCTTTTCATCTATATGTAGTACCACCATAAATAAGATTATTATTTATCTCATTAAGGGAAACAAGAGTGCGCCTGTATTGTGAATCTAAAGACAAACTCCTGTGACCGACTGTAGTGAATGCTTCTCTACACTTCTATAAGATTAACATGATCATCTCTACATGTCAATTCACATCACATTTTGTCACATTCTATCACATTCTACTACTCCTTATCACAAAATTTAAAATATTACCTTATTAATTCTATGTAGCAACTTGTGTAGACAGCTAGTCACCTACTAGTTCTAAAAATTGACTTTGAAAATATCAACATCTTACGTGCATAGCTGCAGGGGAACAGTACCCCTCCACAACTTCAAACTCAGAAAACTTCCAAAACTGTTAACAACTACCAGGAGTATTAAAAGGCTGGTACTGGCTTGTGAAGTACTGAGGAAAGACAGTTTAGGAGAGAGAAGGGCAATCAGCTGGAACTTGCACTGGGAAGTTAAAGGACTCCCAGCCCAGAACAAATTAATTTCTGGTGCCTGCAGGGAAACCCAAAATGCCATCTGGCAGCAGGACACAAGCAGTGTGCTTATGTTGCAAACACACGGCTCAGGACCACTTCAGAGTCAGCCATCAGGAAGAGACCAAAAGGGCCCATTTAGACTCCTTCTCCAGAGCAGGATCAATGTTCTAAATGTAATTTCTAGCAAATATCCATCGTGTTGTGAAAATTCTTCAAGGAAAAATCTATTCCAGTACTTCAGTATCGTTACTTTTCTCTGAAAAGAAAAATACACTGTCCTTTGTATGCTAGGTTTTTGAAAACTTACCACGTTCTTTATTTTTTGTTTGTTTGGGTTTGTTTGGGTTTTTTTGTTGTTGTTGTTTCTGGGTTTTTTTGTTTGGTTGGTTTTGGTTTTGTTTTATTTTTTGTTTTTTGTTGTTTTTTGTTTGTTTTGTTTTGTTTTGTTTTAACTTAAGAGTCTGATGCACTAAAGATTTTCTTGGAAATTGGGTTTTTGACAAATTGAGCCACTCTTGCAGACTGTCATTCTTGCAGTGTGAAAAGGCAAGGACAATAGTTGCTTTGAGCATGCACAGTGTAACGGGACTGGAATAAAGACTTACTCCTTAATGCATAGTTAGGAGATCATGCAAATGCTGTAGGAATTTAAAAGCCACAAAGACAAAAACAGTTAAAAGGCAAGAGGCTTTACAGAAAACAGGCAATCTAATTTTGTACAGCAAACAGCAAATGTAAATTAGGCAGAGAGGGGAATGCACAACATCATGTGACATGACAGGTTTGGGATTGGTATGCCTGGACTTTAGCATACCTTCCTTGAATATCTTTCTTTTTAAACTCATCCTACCCTCAGAAATTTAACATCACAGGCACTCATACTGCAGGAGGATAAGTTTCTAAATAAGCAAAAAAAGCTAAAACAAAACTGTCATTTGTGTATATCTAGGCACTGAATATTAGAAACATTTCGAATAATAAGGTCTAGAGGGTCTTTTTTTTTTTTTTCATTTCTTCCTTCTCTTTTTTTTCCTCAGCAAGAAAAGTACATTGATACAATTAAGTAACATACAATTAGTTATCAAGCATTTACAACTTCTTACTCACCCACTGGAGACATTTCAGGGACACTGGCAACATAAGGCCCATCCAGAAACTTCGGCTCATTATCATTAATGTCCTGCACTTTGATGATGAACTCTGATTCAGGCTCTAGTGGTTTCTTGGTGTCAACATCCACAGCCTGAGCCCGGAGTGTGTAGAAAGGTTTTTCTTCTCGATCTAGGCTCCTTATGGCATGAATATCTCCCGTGGTCTCATCGATGGTAAAAACCGTGCCAGCACCATCTCCTGAAAGGGTATATTTAACAGTGCCAACTCCCTTGTCCAAGTCAGAATGAAGCTTGAGAAGAAAAAAAAGAAACAAAGGGAGGACAAAAATATTAATGGCTTTTCTTAGGCTAGACGACAACTATTTTTTTTTTTTATGTAAAAAAGACTTTGAAGGAATCAATTTCTTTAGTCCTTAACTGCCTCTAAGTGCATGGAAAAAATGTGGGTAGTATGTTATGTAAGACTTTTACCCCTACTTAGTACAGCACAGACTTGCTGCAGTTCAGTAACTAAAACTGCAATGAAGCAGGGCTTCACATTTGTTATAAACTGAAATTTAAGACCAAGGACATAAAATGACTCATAGCCACATCAAACAAATGTGAAATGACATAGAGAGTGTTAAAAGCTTTCACAGGCATTTAGCTTTCAGAGAAGAAAAAGGGAAATATCTAATTATTTCAAAAGCTTGATGGCATCTGAAACTCGAACTTAATTTAAAAAAAAGATACACCTCATGATTACAGTAAATGCTGAACAGAACTAAAAAATACTGCCTTTTACACAAATATTTGATCACTGCTTTTGTCTTTTCTGAGATAATCACATTGCGGACTGTGAATCTAGGAGTTTCTTGCTCATTTTGAAACAGTACAGAACTCAGTATTTTCTGCCTTAAATACCAAGATACACATTTTTCAGGCTATTACTCTGATGAATCTCTAGTTAGAACTTAAAATTAAAAAAAAAAAACAAAAACAAAAACCAAAAAACAAAAACAAAAAAAACCCGTTGAATTCAACTTCTTGAATGTTTTTGTCCTTTTAATCAGTGTCTATCCTACAAAAAAAGAAGTGGCCTTAACCATTATTTTAAATGCAGGATTTAAAGAAAATCCAAATACAGAATGATGAACTTCTTTCTCAGATGCCTCTACAAGCCTGCTCGGTACTCACCCTTTAAATACATCTAAAAGCCTTAAAAAGATACACAAGGTTACATCACTGATGCTGAAATAGTTTTTTAAATGTTCATCCACTTTTTCCCTCTAATGAGGACTAAAAAGATCTATAATGGACACTGGTCAGAATGAAGTTTTCAAGAGTGAATTCCCTTAAGCTGAATTGTAAAGCGATTATGGATTGACTTTATTTACATGATGTACTGCCCAAGGTGAAACACAACAGAGGAAACATGGGACATGAAAGGAGATTATGTATAAAATGAATTACTGAGAAACTAAATGGTTTCAGTAATGGGGCAAGAAGCTAAGCTACAGAAAAGGAGTTAAAGGCAATTACTAACATTTATAGCTATTGACTTGAAATTGAAAATAGGTCCTTGTGACTGTGGAAGAGGTCATGGTTTGTGGCACAGAGCGAACACATAGTCCCTTCTTTGTCTACTTTTTCATCTCATCATTCTTGCTCAGTGAATATACTAAATTCTGGTCTTTCATCTAGCTGCCCCCCACATGCTATTTTAAATTATCTCTCCAGTTGAAATGAAAGCATTTTGCTTCCAAGGTGTTAAATATTTCCTTGCTTGCAAAATGAAAAATAATATAGTCTGAGATAATTAATATCTATTTCTTCCTCAACATTTTAATTTAAGTACCTCAAAACTTCCTGCTGTTTCATTATATTCTGCTCAGTAAAAACTTGGTATTTTCCTTCCATTATCATTTAGAGTCTTACAGACACACATCAAGAGAAAAAAAGAATCAAAATGACGATGAGAAAGCTTGATGAAAAAGCTTGAAGAAAAAAAAATGTTAGAACTTTTTAGAGGGAACCAGACAATTGTTTTAGTAGTGTCCTTATATTAAATAAATTTGCTTGGGCTTCATTGTGAAGACTACCTTGATGCATACACCTGGAAGTAAAAATATCACAGAGCAAAATAATGCAGTTATGAGGCAGGAATTTGTAAACAGAGAAGCGTGACAAGATTACTCCCATCTCCTGTCATTGGATTTGGCACTAAAGCTGAGATGGTTGAGTGTGTTTCTGATTGCCAGCTGTAGGTTTTGCGTTCAACTAGTAACAAATCAGGCTGCGTTGCATGTCTTATCCGAGCCCTTGGATTATACTAGAGAGAATCAATTACAGTTTCTTTCCCATCTGGAAAAAAAGCAGGAAAATCAAGGGCTCCCAAGACAAAGCAAGACTGAAGTACAAGGACTAGATTAAACATCGTTTTTGTTCCCAAATCTATTGGAGAAAAAAACAGTTTACAACTGGCAGGATTAGCAATTCTACAGTTACAGATGTATTCACTGTATTCACCATGACCTCTTCACAAGTATCACTCAGTTAATACAACCTGGGAACCATTCCACCATTCTATTTAAGCAGAGCTGCTATGCTCTGCATTGGCTGGGATGTGTCACATTGTATTTATTCACCAAACCTGCTGATTTTGACATATGCTTCCTACATGACATTGCTGGACAACGTGCAAATGCATGCTTATTTGTAACCCACACTGAGCTAGGCAATTTGTGGGGCAATTCAACATTACACAGTGTCAAATTACTGCAGGGGAATGGGTGATTGATTAATTTAAAATTAACTAAATTCTCCAACACTAAAAGGAATACAAAACTTTGATTCAGATGCAGGGATGAAGATAAAGAAGCTAGCATTAGTGTACTTAGAACACTAGGAAATAATCTTGACTTTCAATGCCTGAAATTTTCCAGAAAGCATTTAGGCTAAAGAATAAGTGCTTGGTACTGTGTCTTGATTTATGTGCTACACGCTGTATTGCACTGGAAGAAAAGACATTTAATTTTTTGTGCTGAAAAACATACAGAAGATTTGTGAAAGACTAGGTTTTCTGACACAGTAACTTTGGATTTGCATCCCATTTCTCCTTCTTGCTCGCACTTGTTTTCTAATTCTTGGTCTTCCAATATTTCAGCAAAATTAAAGGGCAAGAGAAAAAGAGAAAAGCTCAGATACTATCTACTTCCCTCCCCACAATGTTTACATTTCAGAAGCACCTGAATTTACTGCAACAAGGTTGTACAAATGATTTTACTTGCACAGGTTATCTTAATTTTATGTCTTCCCTATAAATCCTGAATATTAAAAGTGCAGAAGAGGCTTGGAAGTGTTACGGATTCATTTCTACCTTTGCTGAAATCTCCACTTTTATTCTCGCTATGTAAGTAACACAGCTTAGTGTCAGATCTTTGGACAAATCTTTCTCAATTGTAAAACTAATAATTTCTTGCAGCAAAAGTCTGTTAGTATAGAAAATAAAGAATATTTTTTCCATAATGGCAGAAAAAGACGTATAATTCCATAATTCTTGCTAATGTGTACAAACAATAACACATATGGCAAAGGAAATGACTGGTTAAAAAAAAAAGTGAATAATAAGATGGAGACTATTGTGAGATACATTGCATAAATCTATGCAGAAATTGTGACAGTGTTTTTGAATCATATCCAGTACCAGATGCCAGACTGAGGCAGTCTACAAGTCCATGTGATCTAGCAATCTGCTTCAGCCTGTAATAAGCTGAATGCTAGTTTGCTTCAGAAAGGATGAAAAAGTTGGTAACAACTCACTAGTAGCACATCTGGGACAAATTATTTATTCAGTTCTTCTGACAGTTTCTAACAAGAAGTATGATTATTTGTATTTTAGTAATAAATAAAGATATTACTGCTTCAATAACTCAGTGTTATCAGCTCTGTGTCACTTCAAGAATTCATACACCTGCACAAATAATTTCAAACCACATGAAAGACCAGGAAATGCATTAGGCAATGCACTTCAAGAACGAGTCCTAGGGAAATTGAGCATCGCAGGAGTATGGATCAGATGTATTTGTTCCTCAGTATCCTATGGTGCTGATTTTCTCTTCTGTATCCTATTCATCTGATCCTCAACTGTCCATCTTCTCTTCCTTAAATACTTCAATACCTTCCATTAATACAATCATTTTGAAAGTCAAATATGTAAATTCACACACATAGGTAAAAAAAAAAAAAAATTGGAAACAAAAGCTTAAAAAAATTGCAATATAGTCAACTTTAAAATGAAGTAATCACTATAACCCCACAAATCATGCAAGAACAAGGGCTATGACATCTGCCAAGATTGCTGTGATCTTAATTTCACAGGATTACAGACAATGAAAAGTTGTTGTATGAATTAACAACTTCCCTTTCCACATTTCTCATCTTCATTAAAAAAAAAAATAAAAAAATTCAAGGAATGCTTAAAATCCTTAAATTTATATATTCAGTCTGATACACTCTGAGATTCTAGGCCTTATTACATTGCAAATTTCACAGGCTGAAAAAAAAATCACTGTACAATTTATTTGTCACTAGTAAATCAATTTAAATGCTATATTCAAATATAGCAGTGCATATCTAGACTGAAAAAAATAGTAAAGGTTCCAGGCCATTAACCATTCCTTGCCTGCACAACAGTATTAGTTACACATCCCACATCTGTATCTTTATATCATTTTTCTTTATGCATTATATTTTAGGACTTTACTCCATTATTTTCTCTTTCTGCATCTGCCCCCAAGTCTCACTATTTATTTTATAGCCACCAGCCCCTGTACTTTCTCATAAGATGTGCAATGAAAACTATTTGAGAAACCAGAACATCCATTCAACTCCAATATTACCTAAGACTAAAAATACAGAATGATATCTTGAATTGAGGAAAGCAAAAAAGGCCATTTTTGTACATAGTTAACATAGGCCAAATCAGACGTATTTTGGCAGATCTTTACTGCAAAAGTGTGTGTGTTAAAACAAGGATACCTACTACAAGAGAGAAGAGTGTAAATGAGACTGAAGAATTTCTATTTGGAAGGGTGCCCTTTTAAAATACATATATTCTACATATATTTCTCTTGGCAAGAACTCTATGGTCTACACAGATTGCATAGTTTCTTTTAAAACCTGATAATTGGAATCTAATGTACTGCTTTCCCACAAATGCATTTATTCTTTCCCTCTAAAAATACATAAACCTTGAAAATTTTCTTAAGATTCAAAGGGGTGTGAGGGTGCCAGAGACTTTAATTCAGGA